CACATAATAGATAATTAAGATTTAACAAGTGAATGAGCCAAGCTATCAATATCATGCAATTTCGATTTGCCTCTGATTAACATAAGTCTAAGGGACTGGCCTCACTGAATACACAGCACAGGCATTTGTTGCTTTATTGCACTTCACTTGACTGACAACATACATTGTATTGTTTTTATAAATTGAAGGTTTGTGGCAACTGAGTGCAGGAATTCTATCACAGTCATTTTTCCAATTGTATATGTTTACCTCAGGTCTGTGTCTGTGTCATGTCTGGTAATTCTCATGGTACTTCAAACTTTTTCATACTGCTATTGTACCCTTAATAAACTACAGTATAGTATAAATATATAACTTACACTTAAACTACAGTATAGTACAAATATATAACTTTCGTATGCACTGGAAAATAAAAATGTGTGACTCACTGTATTGCAAGATTCGACTTCTCATGGTGGTCCGGAACTGAACCTACAATCCCTGCAACATCTTCAAGGTGTGCCTGTAGTGTTTCCTGTGTAACACATTCCACTTCTCCGTACCCAAACATTACAAGTGTCCTAACAAAATCCTCTTTACAAAAAGCCAAAAATCTGTAGGTAACCACTTGATTCTAGATAATTTCGAAAGTTGAGATTGAATAGGTTCAAATCACTTTCTGATAGTCTGAAAAATGATTAGCCATGCCTAGAAGTGACCATGAAAAATAAGACTGTTAACATTATGTACATCCAGAATGCAATTATTTTGTAGCTAAAGAAAACTGAACTTTTCACCTTCTTACAGATAAAAAGGAAACATTTTCAGCTTTCTGCAAATTATTTTTAAATGTTTCGATTAAAGTCGTTTCATTTTTAACATGCATGTGCATGTACACTCCTAAAACATAATCCCTTAGCTATAAAACAGTGCTAGTACTACCTACTTGAAATAATTGTTTTGAGGATAAAATAACATCAGGAAAACATAATTAAAAGTTAGTTATTTCTATGCCTATTTTGTTATAATGAATTTTGCTTGCAAACATAAGGTCTCCAAAATTTTGTAATAGTAAAAGACTACTTTTTCATTCTGACATAAAAGCTTCCTTCTGATTTTAGAGATCTCTCTATGGTTTATATGAAACATTTTATATAAAAGTTTATATAAAACTTCAATCAGTAATTCCTTTGTGTCTAACCTAAATTTCCCAAGTTTAGGCTCCTTTGAGAGGTCTGTAAATCCACCTTGAGGGTGCAAAGGCAAGTCTATTTTATGCATTTGTGTATTTCTGCTGTGAGCTCAGTGTTGACAGCACTGTAGATGAATGCACACATTCATTCATTCAGCAAACATTTACCGAGTACTAAGTTTAGGTACTGTGGTAAGCAGTGCAATAAGAAACGTGAGAAAACTGAGAGGGATTTGCCTAAGCGTTTATAGGGTCGTGATAGAGGCAGACATTTAAATATACAAAAAATTAAGCTTCTACTGTGATTAATACTCCAGAAGAATACTTGTAAGTACTATTAAGCATGAGGGAGTCAGAGATCAGGGAAGGCTCCATTGAGGAATGACATTTAAGCTAAGACGTGAAAAGTAACAAGGAGTTGCCCAGATTTATGAATTCTTAGGGCGGCAGCCCAAGTAGATACAACATGTACGAAGGCCCTGAGTCCAAACAGGTCAGGACTGTAGTAATTGGAAGGTACAGGCAAGGAAAAAGGCTGTGGAGAAGAGAAAGCTAGAGAGAGGATAAAAGCCAAATTATCATCAATAAACAGTAAAAGGAAATTATTTAAATCATTTTAAGTCTTTTTCTCCCGTAAGGAAAATAATCTAAGGAAACTGAGGCTTCATTTAGCAACACTAGAGATATGGAGTCAGAAGACCTGGATGATGCATTGGTTCCACATGTCACCACGCACACCTCCCTGGCAGTCACTTAGCCAATCTGAGCCTATTCTTTCTCTTCTAAAATAAATACTCAATTATTTCACCTGCTGACAGCACAGCAATCCACTCCTGTTCTTCTACAGGCCTCACATCATTGTATTCTAGCTGGAGAAAGAGTGTGATGGACACAGAAAACAACCTAAGCTGTAGGAGAGACATTGTCCATATGCTGACATAGGCTACTGCAGAGCCCCAAATAATAGCAAAAGTGGGTCAGTACACTGTAAACTATGAACTACTATCAAAACACAATTGAACACCTCTCTCTGTGAGCCCTAAATTATCAATGTGCACAGGACCTCAGTACTCCAGGACTTGATAGGAATGCAATAAAACATTACTGCATCTATCCAGCAAAGAGGAAACAATTTCAAAACTATGACCAGCTTTAGAAGTCAAAAGGAAATAAAGTGGTAGAATCAGCCTAAGGTCAAAGCAAACACATACTGACATATATCATTTCACGATTTCCAAGTTTTCCTGCCTTACTAAAAAGTTCTTTCCACAACCTCATTAATTCCATGCAAATAGCAATCTCTTTCCATCTACCCCCACAAAAAGCAAATGCCATTTTTGCCATCTAGAAAAATACTTTCACACACTTGCATTGCCATCCCTGACTCACACTCAGTTGGTGGTTTACTTAAACAAGCAAAGCCAGTTGTCCTCAAAGTTTCCCGCTTACGGTTCTTCCTTCCCTGTGTACATTACTCTGGGTGCTACCTTATTGCTGGTTTGACTGCATCCTGTAGTAGCCTCTCTTCTATTTTAAGAATCATGTTAATTTCCAGACCATCTTAACTTCACCCACAGAGAAATATAGCACCTCTGAACACAGTGGTTTTCTGCACTCAAAAATTAAACACACTGCACTAAAAATTTAGCCTATTTCATTGGTCAACTTATATAAAAATAAACCATAATTGGTTACGTTTTGACTGTAAGTAGTTTAATTATTACATAAGCTTCTTACCATGAAATCCAGATGTCAATGGACTTAATCCTAAAATTCTACCTGAGAACTATTCAATAATATTCATGAGCTCTAATTGTTCACAGTAATAGTAACATTAAGATTAGACCAAGAACACTACTTTCCACTCATTATGAAACATGAGCATCCTGTGTTTTTTATTCTACAAAATAAACATGAATTAATATGCATGATTCTGATTATATTACTTACATGTTGAGTAATGAAAATTAAAAGTAAATAAAAATTACAAGTAGGAAATGTGATGCTCCCTCCATGAAGCTCAGCATAACTTCTTTTTCAGTATTGAGTACACTGAACTCTTTTAATACTGAATTATTTGAAAGAAAAAAAAAAAGGTAAGCTTTGTGAAGGAATACCAATCTCATGGTCCTCACTCACAGCCATGGGTCAATTGTGACACACAGTAACCCTACTGGACAGAGTAGAACTAGCCTTTTGGGTTTCCACGACTGTAACTCTTTATGGGAATAGAAAACCTAATCTTTCTACTGTAGTACTGCTGGTGGTTTCGAACTCCTGACCTTGAAGTTAGCAGTCCAAAACTTCCTAGGTTTCACAAACTATGAGTAAAAATAATCCTAAAATAACAAATGCTCATATAACTGGGATTGCTTAATTGACATTCTTGAATCTCCTCCATACCCTTTACAATGAACAAAATATACCTCAAATATAAATAAAGATATGTACATTGAAACAGATATCACCCCCCCACCCTAATCTGTTCTGACAGATTAGGGCCTTTCATTTGACTCTAGCTAGCTCAAAATAAAAAGACTTCTTAAACATAAGTAAGATGCATTAATTTGCAACTTCTTCAACCTTTTAAAAACACACACCACCAACCTCCCTACGCTTTCTCACATGAGGCAGCTCCGAGAAGGTGGGCTAGAATTGGACAGGATTCAGAAGATCTGTCCGCGTGTGTGTGACCTTGGGCACGTCACTGATGGCCTGAGTCTCTTCATCAGTAGCACGATATGAAAGTGCTTTGAAACAGTAAACGGTAAACATCTCAGGTATTACACATAAGAGGGGCAAGCCTTTCTACTTGGGGCAAAATTGCTCCAGAGAAGCCACATCAAGAAACTGAACTGAATCCGTAGCTCCCGGTCAACATTTGGCCCTTCTTTACACACTTCTCTCACAGGGCATAACCCGAGGCACCCCTAAAAAAAGCCGCCCAAGCACCCATTCCTCCCTACATTTCTCTATCTTACTTCTAAAATAAGGGGGGGGGGGGGATAACAGCCTCATCTTCCTCAGCCCAAGCCACACCTTTAAAGGACCCCACCCCAAGCATATCCGCCCTCTCCCCTCTCCAGGGCACCAGAGGCTAACCTCGCCCTTCCTGCCGCCCCAACCTAGCGAAGACTTCCTGGAGGCGCTCAGGCCCAAGTCATTTACAAACCCGTTTTACGCCACTCGCGTAGGGTAACCTCACTTACGCCCATAGGGCCCCGCTCCCAGCCCCGTCGCTCCGTCTGCCAGAGCCAAGCCCCGAGAGCCCCGGGCCCGTGTAACCCAGACCTGCTCTGCTCTGCAAGCAGGTACACGGGCACGGACAGAACAGCCACACCTTACCGGCGCCTGGGGCACGGACTCCACTTCCCACCTTTGGAGTCCTCTTCAACTCCCGGATCAATTCACTCCGGCGACGCCGGAAGGACCCGAGAGGAACCAGGCGTTGTCCGGAATCCTGCCCAGCCAGAGTCGCGCAAGGAATTATGGGGATTCGTAGTTCCGCCCACTCCTCTCGTCGGCAATTTCTGAATTTGTAAGACTACATCTCCCAGCAAGCCGTGCGGAAGAGCCTAAGGCTATGGGTGGGGACACTCCTAGCCAATAGTCTGAGAGTTCCCTGCCTTTGCTGGAGGAGGTGAGATGAAGAGAGAGGGGCACGAACAGGAGGGGAGGGCGGAGTCAGCTCTCACCTGCGCCAATCAGGATGCAGGGCCTGCCCCGCTGGCGACGCACCCATTGTGGGGGCGGGAAGGAAGAGCAGAAGCAGGAAGGAAGGGAGGGAGGGGTCCAAGGTGGGGAACTTGGGGCTGCTTGACTGGGTACGCTGCGTGGACCTGACCGGGGGACCCGGAGAAATTGACGACGGGGCCGAGGAAGGACGCGGTGTGGAGACGCGTCCCTGGCCGGAGAAGCAGCTTCCTCCAGAACCGCCGAGCTGCATGTCGGACCCGCGGGTCGGGGCAGGAGAGGCTGTGCTAGGGCTCCCGGTGGAGGCGCTAGGGCGGGGCTGGAGGCAGCCACGGGGGTGAGGCCACGGGGTGAGGGGAACGCGCGTCTCCAGGGACAGAAAGCGGCGGAACCGCTGCAGAAGTGCAGAGAAGGCGAAGCTACCCGAGCCCCAGCTTCCCGCCGCTGACTACCCCGGCCAGCCGCAGGAACAGCAGGGGGAGGAGCAACAGCTGCTGAATTCACCAACCAGAGGAGGGGGGCGGAGCTTGGGTCCCTGTAGCTGCTGAAGGCGCTGCCTGGACTGTAGTTTCCTAGGGGAGACCAGAGCAGAGCAGGAGCCAGAGCGAGCGCAACGCGGTCCTGGGAGCATCCGCTACAGCATCCCGCCAGGTTTGCAGGTGTATGGGAGGTAAGCGTGGTTGCCTCTCCTAGGCATCCACACGTGAGATCGCCTTTTCCCATAGGAGTTCTGTCAAGGCACAGCTAAAAAGAGTCCGCCTCGGGCTAGGAAATCGGTGCAAACGCTATTGAGCGAAAGATGTACCTTTTTTTGGACTTTTGGGGGTGGGTGGGGGATGGAGCAAAAGGTGGCTTGACCATAGCCAGATAAGGGCGTGGTTGATGTTTTGAGTTGTAGCATTTCAATTGTTCTGAGAGATGGCAAATTGAAGAAAACCCCTATTAATTGCCAAGGTGGATAATATTTGGGTAAGGTGCGTAGCAGTAAAAAGCAAAAATGTTGTCATTGATTCAGAATCACTTCAGAACTCTTTTTGGTAAGAAAATAAGTTTGCGTTCTTCTTCAATGCTTTCCATATATGTTGCTTTATTAGATTGTCCTACTACTGACCTGTTATCCAGTGTGGTTATACTGCAGGTTCTTAGGATTGAAAGAAATCTGTATTAGGGAAGCAAATGCGAGCAGAAATAGTCAGTATAACGGGAAGTATCAGGATTTTAACTTTTGCCAGCAATAAGGTTAAATATGTCTTAATGGATAAATACCCAGCTTTCCTTCCAGTGACTGAAATATTGAAACAAAGACCTGAACTCAGCCTACAATGAGAACATATGGTGTACTTCATTGCTGCTCCGTATTCTCCCATTTGTGTCCGGATGTGTTTGTACTTTATAAAACAAGAACACAAGAAAAGCTGTGTGAAAATCTGTTCTCTGTTTAGAGTATGTAGACTGATTACTCGTAGTGTGTAATCATAATGTGTTCAGGCTAAAAAGACATGTAGGGTCATAAATATAATTTTTCTTTGGTATTGAGCCATGTGTCCATTTCTTTGAATGTAACTATTTGTTGGTGGTGGAAATATACTCCAAGGCTAGGTAAAGAGGAAAGTTGCTCCTGTCTTTGTGTAATTATGACACAATTAAAACCTGTTCTTTTTAGGCAACTATGTAAAAGGCTTCTCACCTGGTTCGTTTGCCTTTCTTTTTCAGAGAGGTTCTCCAGATTGCATGGCTTTTAATCATAGTAGCATATTGCAGCACAGTTTACCCTGAAGTGCACTCATTGTGACTGTTGTGTATTTCAGCATGTCTGAATACTTTAATAATCTGGAATTTCTTGAATCTGTGTCAATAAAATAAGATAATGGCCTTCTATTTCCCTTTTCACATTTTGTTGATTTACTTAAAACCAAAGCCAAGCCCATTGCGGTTGAGTCGTCTCCAACTCACAGGATTTCATTCTTCTAATGCAGGCAGAATTCCTTTTTGAAAAGAAAAGGCCAAAAGAATTCTCTTTGTAGCTAAAAGTTCATTCCTACCGAGTGCTTGACAGCCTAAGTGACTTATCAATGTATATACTCCTCCCTTTCAACACCCTCTCCCACACTCCCACACCAGAGAAATAGATGGACAGGTCCTTTTAAAATAGCTGCCATTAGATTGCCCCCTAGCAGATCAGGTGTTACACACAACAAAGAGGTTTAGAAAAAGAAAAAAGCAACAGTAGCCACGAAACTTAGAAGCCATGGTAAGGATCAGATTTTATCATTACCAAGTCTTGGAAGAGTTTTAATCCACATCGCTGACATGGCACTGAAAATTATTTTAGGGGAGAAAAAGGAGTGGGGCATAGTGAGGTTTAGAAAAAATGTGTTGGCCCTGTTATTTTTGCTTAAATGGATTGCCTTAAATCAGACTCTTAGATTCTCAGGCTCTTCTGATTCGTTTTGTGAAATTGCACATCATCATTGGGTTATTTCCCGCATATAGTAATACTGAAATGATGACAGTGAAGTTTTTTCAAAGCCTTATTAAAAGGTCTTTTGGAAAGAACTTAGTTGGGAAACAGTTAAAAACCCAGCTGAGAGGATAGAAAATAAATATCAAAAGAGTTGACATTCAAGTGCACTTCGCATTTGAACTGCTTGATAGATCTTTTCTCTGCTGTCACACAGGCTAGAATCTCATCAGGAATGGATGAGTTTGTGGCATCAAGGTCCTAAATGTTTTTGCTTGTTTCCCTGATTTGATTCAAACTTCCTGGGTCAATGAAAGCGATTGGGATCCTGTATATCATTTAGGGATAGAAGGATGCCATTTTCATATGGGGAAAATGATTGCCAGTAGAGAGTAGCTGGACATTTATTTGTTACTTTGGAACCCCTTATGCATTTGAACTTGATTTTCATGTCAAATTTTCAATTATCTGAAGACTTGTATTTACCTTGTGTTACTAGTTTTGATAAGACTCATTGCATGGCAATTTGTCATTTTATTTAAAGCCCTGTCTTGGTTAAAATCAAGCTATTTAATCTGCTCTTGGTTTTTACTAGTTGTGTATTCATGTCAGGGAGGTTAACATAATATAATAAATAAAAACGACCATAACACTGTTCAGAAGGTCTCTTTTAAATGGAAGTTGCTCTGGGGATTCGGATTCTTTAGCAAAAGATTTGGTTATTTTCAAATTACAATATCTTTTGTAGTGTTTTATAAAAATGTAAAATTCTGACTCTAAGCCTCTTATGTAAAATAATGGAGGAGCATAGATGCCTCTTTCTAATAGGACTATTCACTGATGCATGCAGCACCAAAGAGCAAGACTTAAAGAGTCAGGATCAGAAGGTTTGGGTGTGTGTAACGAGAATGAAAAGGAAGAAAGCTTGAGGAACATTCCATTAGCAAGGGAGAGGAGAGATTTGATCTTTTTTGTTAAGTGTCATGGCTTCCCCCCCACCTACTCATTAATTTCTAGAAGCATAGAGCCATAATAAGAGACATTCCTTTCTTACATTGTCATTTCCTACATTTAATCCAGGATGACATGGATTCATTAATTCATTAAATTTGAATACAAATAGATTATTAGAGCAAAGCAGAAAAAAAGATCACATATGAACACCTTCATGTCTCTCTGAAACTTGTTATTTAAAGGAAAAGGAACAAATATCTCTAAAATAATGCGTATAATCTTTAATAATAGAAGTACTTGAACCATGCAGTAAGAATGAACAAGAACTGTTTGCAGGGGCAAGGAACAGGTTCTTTATTTTTATAAGCAGACTTCTCAGGTAAAACACAAGGATTGACACATCATTATACAAAGGTAAGGGTTTTATTTATTTTTTCATAGTCTTGCCTCAATTGTTTTCAAAATTTAATCCCTAATGCTTGGAAAGTATTTTATATAAGTAGATTATTAGCAAGGAACCCTGGTGTCATAGTGGTCTATGTGTGGAGCTGCTAACTGCAAGATCATTGGTTCAAGCCCAGTCAAAACTGACTTGATGGCAGTGAATTTTTTTGGAAATTGATTAGCTTCTTGAAACCATTTACTTCTTTTCTTTGTTATGGAGTACTTCACATAACACTCAGCATCATTTCTGAATTAAAAATACTGGTTAATATCTCTTTGATGTATACATTAAGACATCTTTCAATTTAAGAGACAAGAGTCCATCAGTCCTTTAGAATCTGAGACCTGTTTTCTGTTGATCAGCCTTTGCATAAGTGTAAATGAAGCCCAATTTCATTCAGACAGTGGTGAGCTGCAAAGACTCATCTATTGCTTTGGGTGTCAACATTTCTAATCCACTCCTGACATAGAGCTTATAAAGCAGAAGAAGGCTCCCTGACTGGTAGAACCCGTGGTCTGCCAGTGGCTCCCTACCCTTAACCTCAAGTCCCAGGAGATAAACCTCTGTTGAAGCTTGAGACTAAGAAGTATATTTTATTCTTTAGAAACTGAATTTCTATTCCATTTTTTATGGTCATTTCTTTTAAAATGAGAGGACAGAGAAAAGGAAAGAAAAATCAGACTTTAAGCATATTTGAATGTGGGTATATATATTTACATATATATATTATACATACACACACATAAGCTCTTCCAGAAAAAAAATTATCACTTTTGGAATTAAGAATTTGATAACATTTTTGGTAAAATGTCGGAGTCTTTTGGCAGATTGTAAACAGTTTTTTTATTAGTAGCAAAATTAATAATAACTGGCTTTTGTTTACTTTTTAAAACAACCTTGCCAGATGCTGTTGGATATTGATTGACTTAGAAGTGATCATTAATCTCCCTCCTTCATGTTTCTTTGTCACGATTATTAACTATGCTTACCACTATGCCTTGTAGAGCTGATTTCATAACCATTTTCACCAGATGGTTAGGGCCTTCAGAACTAAGTTGCATCACCTTTTTATTTTTTTTTTCCACTTTCGGGCTTCATACAGAGCCTTTATTTGGTAGGTGATAGCAGTTTATGTGAATATTTGGCAATTTATAATGAAGCATCATTTTACACTTTTCACAAACAAGTACACCTTAAAAACTGAATTTTTCTTAGACATCTGTTTTAGAACCAAATCTAGCCCTCTGCTCAAAATATTTGCTTATATTAGAGCAAATATAAATATCACTTTCTCTGTGTAGATTTCTGAATGGATAGAGCAGATATGGCTATTAACTGTAACATTGCTTATGCGTGTGTGCTTTTAGGTTTACATTTATTTATCAGATACTTCCTGGGAAGAGTGGGTCCTTCTTGCTCCTTGCCTCTAGACATTTGCAGATTTAAACGTAGATTTTGGAATAACAACCCCCTCACAAGCATAGAAACACATTTTCTATGGCTACTTTTTCCTCCTTGACATGTAGATAGAAAAATAAATGTAATAGGAGGTTTATCTTTATTAAAATTTAACTGGTCATGAATATTCTATTTTCAATGAAATGGTTGCATTGAGAGGCCTGATTAAACCTGAATACAACAGGGATTTATCATCTTTGAACCATGGTGGGGAAGTGATAAGTTTAGAGACACGACGTTAGCAGTGGATAGTGCTGACCTCTGTACAGGTTAGCTACTGAAGTGTTTTGTGCCTCCAGATACTGCTTTGAGGCCCCCTTCTGGCTCCGTCTAGAAATGGAGGCTTTTGAGC